TTCAGATGCCCTCGAGACGTATCCCGCAATAGCAAATGTGCTCAAAATGGAGTTGGTGGGTCGGGTGGTGGAAGCTGTCTTCTTATCAGGTCCCCGGAGTTCTGTGGCGGCTGTCGTACCTCCGTGACCAGGCTCGCGTGCCGTGCCGCCAGGTGACGGAGGTTCAGGGCTGGGTGGCCGCCGCCGAGAAGGTGTCAGACGATCCTGAAGCCGACGTGGTGGACGGCACGCTCAACAAGCTCAAGACGTATTTCGCCGAGAAGCAGAAGCTCGTGCAGGCACTCTAGATGATGATTCAGACGCTGTCGGAAATGTAATGGCCCAAATTGGAGTTATCGCCCGCTTAAAAGCGCTATTGGAGGTCTGTGAAGGCACGTCTGTTTACCCGTCGATGTTGGATTTCGTGGTCAAACCGTGAGTGAACCCGCATCGGCTGTCTGCTTGACACGCACTCTTTCTTGCTGCTCTGGCGCAGCCCTCTTGTTTTCGTGTTTGCTAACCAGGGGAAGTATGTGACTGAATTTGTGAATCACAATGCATTTTAGCAAACTACGACCTTTGTCGGAACTGTAAAGATATATGAAGTGTGTATGCATACCGTCCCGATTCCCACCTGTAGGTGAAATGGGTGGCGTGCCTGTCAAACGCACTCCTGAATTTGGGGCCCTTTAACACCACCGCGACTAACATAACCTTTACTTGATAACCTTTCTTTAACCGTTGGTCACCGTGCAGTCAACCAATCGCGAATCGCTCCTTTCAGATCCCAAGTTATTGCGGAGATGTTTTACAATAAACGAGACCCGGAGAGGCTGTCTCGGTTGCACCGGCGGGCGGCAGCGGATGCGCCCGCTTGCCTGCGGAGCAAGGCGGCCGTCCCAGATCAGTTGGCAGCGTAACGGCGTCGTCAGCAGGGCTGCGTTTTGATCGGGGTTCGGATACCACAAGTGGTGGCGGGCGGCCAGAAGGCGCGCCCCGTCCACCCGAGGTCAGCTGACCTTCGGCCCCGACGCCAGACAGCCGCGGCCGCATAAATCCCCCCCCCCCTCCCTCTCCAGCCCGACGCTAGGCAGCCGCGGCCGCCCAAATCCCCCCCCCCCTCCCCTCCAGCCCGACGCCAGGCAGCCGCGGCCGCCTACATCCCCCCCCCCCCCTCCAGCCCGACGCCAGGCAGCCGCGGCCGTGCAAATCCCCCCCCCTTCCAGCAGGGGGTGCTGTGAAGAGGTCGGAGGGACGATATACGGTTGGAGCGTCAACTGGCGAGGACGACGAAAGGCAGCACAGAACTGGTTCGGAATCAGCAGCGTCGAAATTCATTTTGCGAGGACATAGGACGTGAAATGCTATACATGGTGTACTTTATTTGGGAAAGTGTTGAACGAGAACAAACATTTGCTGCTGGAATCAACTGTCTGAAAGTCATCGGAGTAATAAGGTTTTTTACGAAGCTTTAAAGCATTTGGCACAACGAGCTGCTGGGGGAATGACAAGCAAATGATGGCTGTTACTGCCTTAGAGCGCTTAAAAAAGGACGAAAAAGTTGAATTGGTATTTATAGGCGTACAGAATAAGAGGTAACATGCAAAACGCCATAGGTGGCGGCACACTCGCAGATGTCAAATATTTCTGTCTGTGGCAATTTATCAGGAATGATTTTACTGCCAATAGACGGCAAGCTTGTAGTGGGAAAGACAAGCGAACGGTGTTTGCATGGTCAAGCAAGATTTCATCTGAGTCATTAGAATGAATTTGACTTATGGGATCAGAGCTCACACTGAGCAGTATTTGCCATGCGATTCCTGGCCTCCGCCATCCGATACTACAATTCCAGGTCAGCGACATAATCTGGTGGCGGAAGTTTTACGCACCGCAATGCTCGGCACGGTCCGGCCTCCCCTCTGACGTCACCTGGCGTTAAGCGCAGCCGCTGCCACCGAACGCGAGCAGTATCTGTCAGCGCCAATTGGCGAACGCCTAAAGACTCCCTCCACCTCACCACGAATGGGTGGAATGGAATGCAGGCTCTCTAACCAACTGGGCTACCGGAACACATGCCGGTATTTCTCAACCGACTATGTGGCAGCGGCCAATATCCCGGGCAAATTGGAACCGGGATGAAATAATCGTTTGGACTATCAGTCCTCATTTCGTGTCCTAGTATGCCCCTAACGTTTTTAACAAAAAAGGTAAAATGACCAAAAGTCAACAGGAATAAAAGACAGCATGAGTAAACGTCGAATCGGAAAAGTCAAGGGACAATGTGGCAACAGCGATGAAAGATAGAAGTAGAAATAAAACATGAACGGACAGGAAGTCGATAGGGATAGAAGTCAAAATGGAGAAGACAAAAGAAGAATAGCGCAAAGGGACAAAGGCCAAAAGGGATGGAAGCCAGCTAAAAAATACAGGAAACAATTCAGAAGGCGGTCTATCATTGGGTGCACTTTGCTGCATCAACAGTTGCATAACCGTGCGGGGAAAACTTTCTTGTGTTTGAGGTAATTTACTCTAAAACGATGGTCCTAGCCTACCAGTCGATATGTCCATGCAAGTGTAATCTATTGCGTACATGACAGAGCAGAGAAAGAACGGTGATGAAGAAAGATGGGTTGCATGGTACCGAGCATAAATAACCTCTGACAGGGCTGACCGTCAGATTTTTGCCCCGCAAGCAGACACATGCCTGATCTTTAAGATTTCTTCTCGGGAGACAGTTTCTGGCTCCGGATCATTTCGCCTGGCGCGGAAGGAAACATCAGAAACGAGAATTCAGCGTGACATTTAGCCAAGGAATGCACCAAGAGCCAAGATTCGGCTTGCAGTCAACACAAATATCCAGCAAGAGCCAAGACCCAGCTTGATATGATGCCGAGGTTCAGCAAGAGCCCAAACCCAGCTTGGAATGATGTTGAGATTCAGCAAGAATTGATATCCAGCCTGGGATCTGGCAGGAAATCGAGCAGTAACCCAAGACTCGAGCAAGTGCCAAGATCCAGTATCAAGTCACGGGGGCCTGCAGGCACTAGGATCTATCCTAAAATCATCGCAAGTAGCCGGTACGCATCGACAAAGATGGGTTAATATTATGCATGTAGCACTTGTAAATATTTGAGGTGAATATGAAACACACGTTTTTGCACGGACCACATATCCCTCCTTGGTACATAACTGTCAAATAGCAACCTGAGCTGGTGTGCTCGACGAAGCTAACGAGAGGCAGACACTGGGATCGAGTATACCATTGGGACTTTGAAGCCAGGGTCTGCTGCTCGTGCAAATCCAGTGGGAGGCATGAACCACGGCCTGGTCTTTGGGAATGAACCGGTGGGAGACATGCACTGATGTTTGTGAAGGAACTAACGGAAGGCAGAAACTGGGTTCTGGTGGCTTTGTGAAAGGCCAATGGAAACGAGGGGCAAGCTTCCAAAAGTGATAGAACTAGCTAATCAGGAACCAGGGTGTGGTGTTTGCAAAAAAGCTGACGTAACCCAGGAATCAGAGAGTGGGGATTATGATAAAAACAGCGAAAACCAGGATCAAAGATCCCATTCTCAGAAAATGGTAACCAGGAGCGAACATCGGGAGCCAGGTGCGTGTTTTTCAGCAAAAAACAACGTAGAATTCGCGACGGCGGCAACGCCATACACCGTGGACGCCGCGTTGCTCGCGACGGTCCCAGCCCATGACTGCATATGGAGCTTCCATGGCCATAGATGGCAGAGAGGCTAGCAGAGCACCCATAGCACATCGGTCACCTGATTATCTCAGGGTGTTGTGCATGGCTCGATCGTAAAGGCGTGAAAGCTGACTGACGCCGGCGGGGTTTGTCGAGTGGGCGCGGGTGGGCCCGAGTCGAAGGCTGACTGACGCCGGCGGAGCTCACCAAAGTGAGGCCCGAGTCGAAGGCAGGCTGAAGCCGGCCGGGTTTGCCGAGTGGGGCCCTGAGTCGAAGGATGACTGTCACCGGCGGAGTCTGCCGAGTGGGGCCCGAGTCAAAGGCAGACTGACACCGGCGGAGTTTGCCGAGTGGGGCCCGAGTCGAAGGCAGACTGACACCGGCGGAGTTTGCCGAATGGGTCCTGATTCAAAAGCTGACTGACGGCGGCGGAGTTTGCCGAGTGGGGCCCGAGTCAAAGGCTGACTGAAGCCGCAGGGGCTGCCGGAAGAGCGCGGGCGGTCCAGAGTGCACCTGGGTGACCCGGGAGATTACCTCGTGACAGACATCAAATTCCGATCACTCTTCTGTCTAAAGTCCTCTTAATTACATGTTTGCATGCTTTCAACTGAATATCCTTTTTAAACCTCACGACATTTATTCTTTTGACATTTTTTCCCTCCGCTTTTTCAGATTTCACTTTCTTCCCTGTCAATTTTTACCCTCTCAACTTTTTATTCTTCGATTTTTCCGCTTCAACTTTTCTCCCAATCCACCATTATCCCTTCCGCCTTCTTCCGCTAAAATTTAATGTTTTTATTTTGTTTTTTCTATTTTGGTTTTGACAACCTGTGTACTGCTATCCACCCAAGAAAACATTGTCTTTCTGGCGTTTCATTAGCGTTTGACATGCGAACCCAGTGCACCACGGAGCTTTTACATGATTGCATGATTTCTACCTGGCTGGCTGCGCTTAACAGACAAGTGAGTTGATAAATATCCGTAATACAGGGGTGCGAAAAAAGTTCGGCAGAGTTGCATGCGTTGACTATTTTGTTAAATTCAACTTCTTCAGCTTTGGTAGGCCCGCTCTGCCGCTTCCCAGCCTGGCGACATTCTTCGCTAGATTGTGCGAAATGTGAATTCTGTTATCTGCTGCCGAAGAAGACGAGGGTAAAACCCAGGCCCGCCACTATCACGCGGGTGCGCCGCGCTGTGCCCCGTCAACGTCGTTTTGAGCCTGCCCACGGCACTTAAAGCCCATAAACGGCCGCCCACTCGACCAGCTGCCTGATAAGAGGAGCAGCTGCGCTGCCACTCAGCAGTCGCCGCTCACCGAAGCAGCGTGTGAAGCAGCCGCCGTTCGGTCGTGTCCGGCAGCGCACTGCTCGGGTCCCCAGCTGACGTGGCCGACCAGTGTGCTGGTGTCTCCTGTGGCAGCTCATAGTTTTTATGTAAGTAGCTCACCGAAAACATAGTCATACAAAATGAGTATAACCGTTGCGTGATAACGCTTTCTTTCCAAATGTGCTTATTGATGATTTGACAGCTTGTGGCTGATGAACACAGGACCATTCGAAGGAATCATTTGACCGTGATCCTTTTATATTTCACGTTTCAAAGTAGATGACGCCACGTCACCAACTAACGCGTCGTCGCGGTTACGAAAACTCATACCTGTTACAGGTAAGTGTGGCAACATAACCGTGACAAGCGTCCCTCAATGTAGAAGTTAAAGATATATCGGATTTCAGTGAGGCTCGTATGGCCGCTTGTCACATCCGTTATACTGCATTTTTCACGCAGGGTTATTATACGAGCAATTCAACGCCCAATCGATCAAAAGCAGACACATTCGAATTGGGTAAAACTTGATACAAATAGAGCACCCCAGAGAGATGACCAGTTGCCAAGTTACAGTCGCTGGTGACTTGTATGGCCAAAAACTAGCGGAAATCACTGCATTTTTCCACTGATCGAACACCTTCAAACCTCTATGCGCAGAAGTATGATTACACAGCTTTAGCATAATTTAATAAGCATTTTATGTTATCTGTTTAATGCATGAAAGCTGTTAAGTGTAACATGTGGCTGGTTTTTGACGGACGGTACTAGGCCGTGAGTTCCTGGCTTTACTGTTTTTGTTTTTGCCCATCGAATGCCTCTCCAATGCCAACCACATAACTTAAATGGATCGTCCCACATGTGGGGCATATTTCAAAAACATGCTCTTGTGAAATTTCAGGGCCAGCTGCGTCTTATAATAGCCCTGGGTAGTGCCATTGCGGCACCGTCAAGACATAATGAGGATACACATTTTAATTATCTTCGAGTTCGAATTACGCCACCAACGCTTTCTAACAACACCGTGTTCCTTCGCTATACCACCGTCGTCATGACAAACGCCGTGGCACCTCCACTGGCGCGAATTAAAGAGCATTTTTCATTGGCCCAGAGGACGGCAACGACCTGTTACCGGGAAGCACATTGGTTGAAGTTTGGACCCGTGTGCCACATAGACCATGTGGTACCCTCATTCCCAAAGTCAGAGTGTGCTTAGAAAAGATCCACTATGGCAAACAACAAAGTGGAGAAATCAAATTCATGGCATAACGTTTCGTTGAATTCACGCGATAATGGCTTCACGTTCGCTTTTCTTTTTGTCTATGCAGAATGTTTCAAGGACTCCTTGCATTTACTGCACAAGCATTTTGGCAGCTTACTGTGTTGCAAACATTACGGAGCACACACGTTGGGAAAAACAAGGTAAACAAAATGCTTTAGTTGCATGGCGGTGATCCGGGAGTCCTATGGATTTCTCCTGCTCAAGCGGCTACTTCAAATCAAACTTAAGAGCCATTTAGAAGGATTTCCACAAAACTAGCACTGCTGGTCTAATCGTACGCGTTCGATCTAACAATAGGTAAAAAGCAGAACAAGTTGGCATACTCCCTTAACTGCATTTATAAAGGCGTTGGAAAGTTTTTTGGGGTGGTGAAACACCGTTGTGATATCGGCTTATGTATTTCCTCGCGTTAGTTTATGTATTTTGACCTCTGCCTAAACACCGACTTTGGCTTGCCGATTTTGTAACTTCCAAGCTAGATAAAACAGTATGGCCCTAGTAAATACCCAAACCAGCGACGGATCCAGGATTTCGTCACGCTGAGAGTGGAAGGGACGCGCAAAGTTGTGGGGCCTCCTGGAGTTTTGAGCTCTCTCTCCAAAAGCCTTCGCATTCCAGCAATGACGTTTCAACCCTTGCCCTGATTCGCCATTTTTCGTAACGCAAATGGATTAGTGAAACAAAAGAAACAAATAGCGTTGTTGACGAGTGACATAGATGAGTCGAATAGGCAAGATTTTGCACTAGTGAGAAATAGCTTTAGATGCATATCTAGCAAAACAGCCATGACATATGAATAAAGTGCGATAGCAGCCTCCATCTTCACCCCCCCCCCGCCCCCCTCCCAGTCAATGGGCTTGCCTTCCTGCCTTCCAGAAAAAGTCCCTGAAGTACGCCCTGAGCTTGGCCCCCCCCCCCACACTTTTTGAAACGTTCCTAAGCCCATGTCAACGATATCATACATACGAGACCATACCTCGTGGCGACAAAAATCTGAGTAGGCGCAGGCGTTTACTATGTTTTGAACCTAACTTTTTTATATGTGCATTGTTTATGCAACAATTTCGGCCCGCCACGCGCATTCGCGGCGCCGTCCATTGCAGCCTGCCTCCTGCGCCGGCCGTAAATCGCCGTGCAGTGTTTCTCAAAAAATGTTCGTTGCTACGAAACCAGGAAAACTGGGAAACATTCCTGGTGTCAAAAAACGCGCAGTGAATCCACAATAGGCTTCTGAAAATTTGGAAACGACTACACAACATGCCGGAGAGTTATTTGTAAAAAAAACCTTCACGAGTCGTATCAACCACTCCCATCAAGGCTTCTCCGCCGGTCGATGTGATCAGTGATGACTAATGACTTAGTGCAGGGTTTTTGTTTTTGCTGTAATGGAGAAGCACAACATATATCAACATTCAAAATGAGTTACGAACGTGATGCACCTGTATAATGAGCGCACGGATTCAATAACAACCGAAATGACACATACGACGTTGACGGCGCGCAAAACTATTTCAGGCCGTTGTCCGTCAAATTCATCCGAACGTATCCCGACTTTGCTTTCTGGGACTGAGGGGGCAAGGAAACTCATTATCGTATAGTTCTCGGACTTGCGTACGTTGACTGATATTGCTAGGCCCGTGCACAAGAGCAGGCGGGATGCCATGTGTGATGGCAGTGCCGGCGCTCGCAAAGCATGTGCTGGGCTTTCGTCAGCAGAGTAAGCTCTTTCTGATTTTATCAGAAAAGTCCGGGCCCCATGTGGAGGGTCTCGGAGTGATACAGACCGTCCTGGCCGATTAACATGAAGGGCTCCTTCAACAGTGTAGTCTCTGATGAAATGGAAATACCCAGGACCGGGACGGCACCTGAGCGATAGTGCGATCGAGGGTGTCATGACAGGGCAGCCGGGAGGCTCCCGCCAACAGCTCAGCGTCCCCTGAGCGAACGGAAAGAACCAAGACCGACGGCGCGTCGGCCCGTGAACGATGGGCCCGTGAACGCCGTGGCAGGTTGACATGCAGGGATCTGGCCTGAGCCCAGTGCCCTTCGAGCAAACGGGAACAACCCTTGACCAATGTACAGGAATAAATACACGCGAGCGATCGAGAGCGCCTTGGCGGATGAGCTGTGGGGCCCTGGACAACAGCGTAGAGTCTTCCGAACAAATACGAAGAGCCAGACTAATGTGGCGTACCCCTGTGCGATCAACAGTGTCCAGACAGGTCGACGGAAAGGAATAACGGGCTCCGGCAAGAGTGCAGGGCACTCAATATTTAAGACCGAGTGAAAAGAGCCCTAGAACAAAGTAGGAGGCCGCTGAACATTGAGTGCCTTGGTACGTTAAAGTGTAATAGAAATAGCGCGGGGCCCTCCTGCCAAATGAAATGAACCCGAGACCAACATGAAGGTCCCCTGAGAAGCCGAGAGGACCCCGGAAAGTTAACATATGGGACCACGGCCACAACATACAGAGCCTTTCGAGCGAATGAGAAGCATGCGTGGAGGGCCCTTCATCGCTGAAGAGTGCCCGACCGGTTGGCACATAGCGCCCAACGACAGAGCAGGGCCTTTCGAGCAATGCAAAGAATATAAGGGCAGCGTGGAAGGCTCCTTAGCGATCGTATTGCCCCGACAAGTGGACATATAAGGCCTTGGCAAGAGCTATGGCTTCTGGTGGGCAAGATGAGACTCAATACTTTCCCAAGCACCACCGCTTAAATCAGCGAGCAATTATTTTTGTCTGCTCGTGGGCCCTCACTTTTGCCTGCGGCTGTTCTCAGTCGCTTAAGGGCCCAAAGACGTCCAATTTCGTTACGTCTCACGTTAAAATTCCTACGTTTGTTCGGTTCTTCGGATCCAATGGAACACTTCGGAGCCCACAAGGGGGAGGGGGATTGCCCGTGCCAAAAACATTAACCTATGCTAGTTCTATGCAACGTTTTGTATATTGCTGGCCGCTGATTCACTAAGAGCGTGTGAGCACTGCATGTCTTGTGGCTCCGACCCATATGGTATATGTCAGACGAGGATAATAATTGCCGTTTGATTGTTTTATACAAAGTGTTCTATTCGTGCAAAGTTCCATCGAAATCGGAGAGCGCAAGGAGCGGCCTCAGCCGAATTAACATGGAAATGACCCATATGGTGAATGAGTTATAGTCACACCTTATCTGCTGCCCGACAAGCTGCTTTTGGCTGCCCGTCCGCTTTGTCTCGCGCCGGGTCTCCTAAAGGGGTGGCTGCTGCTGCCGCTCCCTGACACCGGCCGCTGCCGCTTCCTGACGCCGCCCCCCACCCCCCCGCCGGCAGCATACGCCGGTCGCTTCACCCGCTCGAACAGCGGACATCGCGGTCCCGTCGTCGTCCCGAGCCAGGGCAGAGGAGATGTCGACCGTCAGCAGTACCGCGAGCAGCGGTAAGGACCACCGCGGGCGCGGCAGCAGCGGCAGCAGCTCCATAGCACCGCCGGCGGTCCCAGCCGGCGGCATCAGCACCTTACTGGCGTCCGTCTTCATCACCGGCACCCTGGCCGGCAGCGGCATGCTGGCACTGGCCAACTCGGTCCGGCTCACAGGTGCGCCGGCCCCGAGCCCAGCTAAGCCAGACTCTGTCATCTGGCTGATGCCTGGAGGTCGGAATGAGCTTCATATGCTGGAGGGTAATGGGTCAATGCGCGTCCGAAAATGTGTGCACGTGTGTGTGTGTGTTTTGGTGTGTGTGTGTGTGTGTGTGTGTGTGTGTGTGTGTGTGTGTGTGTGTGTGTGTGTGTGTGTGTTTGTGTGTGTGTGTGTGTGTGTGTGTGTGTGTGTGTGTGTGTGTGTGTGTGTGTTTTGGTGTGCGTGTGTGTGTGTGTTTTGGTGTGCGTGCGTGCGTGCGTGCGTGCGTGCGTGCGTGCGTGCGTGCGTGCGTGTGTGTGTGTGTGTGTGTGTGTGTGTGTGTGTGTGTGTGTGGGCGCGCGCGCGCGAGCGCTATCTGATGCATGTCTAGTTTGTCTAGGCGATGGACATCGAGCACTTCAAGGCTTACTGGGAGCTTGATACGTCTAGATACGTCCAGATTCTCTCCCGTGTTAACATGCCGATGATAAGCCTTCCTGGTGAAGTAGCTGCTGAAGTGGCGGTGAGGCTAGATATTCTCTGAGCCGGCTGACCTGCTCGTAGGTCTCAACAAAAGAGTCACCACTACCAGCACTCGTGGGACCACCTCTCTGGGCCCCGCCACAGCCTCCACTGACCGTCCTCCGGTGCGCCCCGCCAGGCTACATCGGCCTGGCCCTGCTCGTCTACTTCGGCGTCAACTCCGCCTACTGTGGCGTGGTGCTGTCGCGCTGCTGGCTGATCGTGGAGGAGCGCTACCCAGAGCTGCGTGGCCAGGTGCGCGCTCCCTACCCGGAGATCGCCTACAGGGCGTACGGCCGCAGGGTCAGGTGAGGTCAGGGCGAATTCTACAAAGAAATATCACAAGTGACAACGAATTCTTGAAGGAGACGGACGGGATGAATCAGCGACTCTTATTTATGTCTTACCATGCAACGCAGTGGGATTTATATCAGTCTGGCTGAGTTCCCGCTTGTGAAGGTTGACACATTTGGTCATTTCGTGTCTCGCAGCATGTTCTGGAAGGAAAGACATATATGAAATCTTGGTGGGACTGGTCGTTGGCACGCGAACGGAGATTTGCCCGCGTAACCGTGCCGGCCACATGGTTGCCAGTACCGGGTAGTTGAAATTGGCTCTATTTGTCGCATATGTGCTAAAGGGAGTGTTCCACATTTGAAAATATCAAAGCAAGCATCAGATATAATGAAATAAGCTTACTTTCAATTTTTGGTATACTTTTAAGGGTGAAAGACTGCTCTAGACGGCGCAAATTCTCTGTTCAGTAAATATGCTCCTCAATACGTCATTGTTTAAATACGTCATCGTACATTGATTAAGAACAGAGCAGACCATTAAGGGCCAAGCGACGGCCATTATATCTGGAAATTGTGCTCACGAACGCTAGATATGAGCGAATTGACAGTTATATTTTTCTTGGGCGCGGTCGCCGCACGTCCCAAGGAATGGCAAAATTTGAATGACGCTCTTACGGTGTCATGGATGCCTGAATAACCTTAAAGTAGTCTCCCCGAAATAGTCTGCACATCTTCGCAGGCCAGTGGCTCATTAGCTCGGTTAGGCTCTCGGCTAGGTTTTCCCGCCGATCACGCGATGATAATGGTGATGATAATGATATGATCAGCAAAGATGCACGGGGCGCCTTACTTGCAGCTCGTGTACTTGGCGACGGCCTCGGTGCCTTTCGACACGGCGTGCTTGGCCAGCTCGCCGGGCAGCAGCGACGCACGGCCGTCTGGATCCCTCGCGACGTGATGGTCGACCACTTATAACCGGCCAGGCGAGAGGCCTCGGCAGCGATGCACTCGAAGATGTCGTTGACGAGCGAGTTTATGATGCTCATGGCCTTGGACGAGATTTCGGTGTCCGTGTGCACCTGCTTGAGCACCTTGTAGTTGTAGATGACGTACGATTCCTTCCTCTTCTTCCTGCGCTTCTTGTCTCCCTTGGCAATGTTTTTCTGGGCCTTGCCGACTTTCTTCGCGGCATTTCCAGTTCTCTTGGGCGGCATGCTTGCTTGCCGGGGTGCAGCGATCAGTAGCATGGTTAAGGTCATAAGGGGGGTAGGGCTGGGAACTGCACCAGATTACCTTCAGTATACCTATTTCAGTTCAAAACTCCATACAAATGTGGAGCACGCCCTTTAAGATGCTGCTACTATTGCCACTGTAGTCATCATCATTGGTTTTTGTCTCACCATCGTTACGATACCACACGCAGAGCAAAGCGACCCGGCATCACGTGGCTTCCACTGCCACGCTCTTGGCTAAGCGGCTCATTGTCCTAAGCCTGTTTTTATCGATTGAAGCAATGAACGCTGCTCCGCTGCCATCGTCCATGTAAAAACAAAAGTGGAATGTTAGGGGGAAGGGGGCGGCAGCTGGCCTAGTCTACATTTTCGTGAAATTCTATGATAAGACCTAGGTCAATGCATTTTTAAAAAGTCCACTTCCACACACTTTGACTCTCCTACTTTGCTGGTTACCAATATGTACATGCCGTGTCTGTATATACGCGTAACTTCATGCTTGATTCTTCCATCACGAATTTCGATACACTGTACAGAGCATTACTTTGCCCAAACACAATCGGTCATAAATTGGCTTCACTGCCAGCGCCTAGCGATCCTGCAGTCAGTTGGCTACCTCCCCGTACGGGTCACTGGCGGTCAGTTGGCTACCTCCCCGTACGGGTCACTGGCGGTCAGTTGGCTACCTCCCCGTACGGGTCACTGGCGGTCAGTTGGCTACCTCCCCGTACGGGTCACTGGCGGTCAGTTGGCTACCTCCCTATACGGGTCACTGGCGGTCAGTTGGCTACCTCCCTATACGGGTCACTGGCGGTCAGTTGGCTACCTCCCCGTACGGGTCACTGGCGGTCAGTTGGCTACCTCCCCGTACGGGTCACTGGCGGTCAGTTGGCTACCTCCCTATACGGGTCACTGGCGGTCAGTTGGCTACCTCCTTATACGGGTCACTGGCGGTCAGTTGGCTACCTCCCCGTACGGGTCACTGGCGGTCAGTTGGCTACCTCCCTATATGGGTCACTGGCAGGGGCCGGACTGCTCGGCATGTACTGGCAGCAGACGCCGGCGGAGTCACATTCGCCCCACTCCGCTCAGTTTGACAGCCTTGCAACATGACCCGCCGCCTAGCTTGAGCAAGCTGTGGCGCAGCCTTCAATCCACGTGAGATTGTGTTGGGGGTGGCGAGCCGCCGCCAGCCCCCCTCACCGTGCAGCGTCATGCGCATCGCCTCCGCTCTGCGATAACAGTGTGTCCACACACTCGAGCCCAGCGTCAGCGCAGCCGCCGGCGGCAGCGCGTGAGACCTGACATCGTTTCCACATCCCGCATGCTTCGCTGGCGATGACAAACCATGCCATTTGGCTCACTATTCTTCCCATGCACGGCGAATGATGACGCTATCGCGCGCCGCGTCGAATAACATGGTGGTTATAAATGCCTCATACGAAACGTCTTTGTTGTTTGGAGCAAACGGCGTGCTATTATGCTCAGAAACTGTTCCGGTCCGGGATGAACATAATGTTTTATGGTTACGTATAACTTTGTCATGAGAGTATATGCGAACATATATTGTTTTATCAATATTTACGAGATATGTACGCGCGCGTAGCACACGTACATACCTCTTATATAACATCTCATACATAGCATATGCAAAGGTTCGTGCATAGCACGAACCTGTGCATATGCATATATATATATATATATATATATATATATATATGTATATATATATATATATATATATATATATATATATATATATATATCTACATTCATATTTATTTGCATACATATTTCAACGACGTTAATATGGGTTCATGGATGTCTGAGTGACATTAAAGTAATCTCCCCGAAAAATTCAGCACATCTCCGCGGACCGGTGCCTCAGTAGCTAGCATGGCTTAGGCCACAAGGAGGGCAGGGCTGTGAAATGCACCAAATGCTCCCCAGTATGGCTATTTCAGTTCAAAACCCAATACAAAATGTGGAACATCCCCTTTAAGATATCGCTACTATTGCCATTGTAGTCGTCATTGGTTCTTGTTTCAGCACCGGTAGCAACAGAGCAAAGCGTCTCGGCTATATATATATATATATATATATATATATATATATATATATATAAATGACGGTCTGTACTGAACTATGATACCGCCCTCCGGCATTGGAAGCCCAATGCTGAAGCAGGCGGAGCTCAGACCAAGCACCCAGACCCAACCTTGGCAGTGTATCGGAGCAGGCGGAGCCCAGACCAAGCACCCAGACCCGGCTTTGGCAGTGTATCGGAGCAGGCGGAGCCCAGACCAAACACCCAGACCCGGCTTTGGCAGTGTATCGGAGCGGGCTCAGCTCAGACCTTGCCCCCAGACCCAGTCTTGGCAATAAATCGCATTACGGGGACAGCCTGTTGTGCACACAGACTGCTGGCATCAGTGGGCATCTTCCTGAACCAGTTCGGCGGCAGCATCGTGTACGTGCTGCTGTCGGCCGAGCTACTGCAGGATCTGGCCGGCTCCACCATGATCAACTGTTACTGGATCCTCGTGGTAGCCGGTGTACTCTGTCCCTGCTCCTTCCTCGGATCGCCTAAGGACTTCTGGTAAGATCGCAGTCTTCAGAGCTTGATTGGTTGAGCCAGAAACGTACGACAATGCGTTCGCGTTTTTTTACACGTTTTAGCAAAACGCTGATGTTTTCTGGCCTGCCGTCTTTGACACGCCAAGTGAATAGGGCAATTAAAGTGGCCGGTGTCACATAAATCCATAAATTGCAACGGACTGGACGGGAGAGTTGTAAAAGTACTCGGATTGATGGGATTCAAGTGCTGAACAGCATTAGCAGATTTAGAAAAAATGTTAACTCGTGCAACAATTTGAAAAACTAATGCAAAATCGTGTAACAATTGGAACAAAAATAGCGTGAAATCAAATGACAACTCGAACAAAAATAAGGCGTTCACGTGTCCTCACGGCATGGTTTTCTAATGACATTTTCCACTTCATGCAAAACCCGTCTTGAAAAATGATGTCCTTTCTGACGTTTATTGGCATAGAGGATATTTATGCTATCAGATTCAGCATGCTCTTCGGGAATCCTTTAGCTAAGTCCGCGCGGCCGCCTAAAAACGCGCATGGCATTACCACCACCCGCGTGATCCCAAGTCTGGCTTCAGTTAGCCCACCCTGATAGTCGATCATCGTGATCTGTTTTCCTCACAGGTTTATCGGCGTCACCGCCCTGGCATCCACAGTGCTCGCCTGGCTATGCATCCTCATTCACTTAAGCATGCATTATTCGGTGACTGTGGTCAACGCCACACATGAGTCTCCGACTTTCGGCACGCTCTTCCTCGGTATGGCCAGCATCTTGTTCGCCTTCGGGGGTGCCTCTTCCTTCCCGACCATCCAGAACGACATGGCCGACCGCAGCGCGTTCAGCAAGAGCGTCTTCTACGGCTTTGCAGGTTAGTGATAAACATGTGATCACGGCCACTTGCGGGCCGTGCCGTTTCGTCTCATGCCGCGATCAGCGGGAGTGTTGTTTCGCATCATGCCCCGACCAGCGGGGTATGGCGACGCTGAGCGACCTGAGCTACTAATCTGTCACAAACCCTCAAAGCTAAGCCAGAGTTCTAGGCCTTCATGGATGAGCGGTTCTGTTGGCCCGGAATCACGAGCATGAGTCTTATGCAGACAAAGGCGTATAAGATAAGGGACTTGCGGGCGCACTCAGAGATCATGGCTCTCTCGACTCACAGCGACGCGAATTCACGAGCCGATTCCGCGGAATTACCCGCTGTCGCTCCTGCACGGCGCGAAAATGCTCACAAATAGCACACCAGCAACTGTCGCCGGTGCCGTCATGCCACTCTTGATAGCGAGAGTTCGGTTTGCATGGCACGAGGACACTGAGGCGAGGTGAATGGAGCAAAAACTCGGAGTACAAGAACCGTTTGGTAAATCTAAAATCCCAGGTCGGTTTTACTGTTTTCTAACGTGAGGAAAAGAGGGAACAGGGCCCATTCGTTGATAATCGATTCTAAGTAGCAGCCGCTGCTCAGCACCACACAGTTCCAGCTGTACAGCTTGAGATGAAGCAATCGTAAAATAATTATATTCATCATCGGTGTCAGTTGCAATGATTCCAGGCTGTGAACTGCATATTTTGACTGCATTAAACCTTCCGGGTCAATGAAATAAACAACGGCGCGGTACAAACCAGATTGCTTCGATTTTAAATGAGCTGTTCAGACTGTTGTCCAAGTGCCAGCACTGCCCCGGCGTTAGCCCCAAACATAGCCATTTTCCTACATGAAATCAAGCGTCGCCTGTCTACAGCGCTGTTAATGATGTACTTCCCGATGACACTGCTGGGCTACCTGGCGCTGGGCGATCAGCTGGACGCGGACCTCATCAACTCGCTGACGCCGGACGGCTTCTTGAAGACCGCCGCCCAGGTGCTGTTCATGTTGAACCTGTCGGCGTCGCTGCTCAGCGTCATCAGTCCCGTCTACCAGGAGCTGGAGCAACGCATTGGCATCCCGCCAGGTCAGCGACCGCCGCGCTCACGGCGACCAATCGGCTGCGTGCATCGCCTCGGCCCGTCATTGGCTCAACGGGTCGTGCTGTGCACACGATTGGCTGGAAGTACTACCGCTGCTCGGTCACTTCGAAGATGTTGCCTCTTTAACGCAGAAGTCAAGGGCATGCAATAGGCGCTGGTGCAGAAGGCAAAAGCTCTCAAGATGATACTCCCTATGTGATAATGCGATGTCGAAAATGTGCGTCATTTCTTGAAGTCAGGCTTTATGTGTGTAGACAAGGTTATCACATCATGTTCAACTAGATGCGATCGCGTTGCGGGCAGTGTCATGCTTCTATGAAAAGAGGACGTTGCCGTTTTGTTTTCCTCCCACTGATTATCTGCAGGCCTTCGTTTTCTCCCAATTTTTTTCGAAACAAAAGGAATGTGTGGGAAGGATGTGGGAAGTGTTTACGAATCGTTTAGAAAATGGGAGAAAATAGTTAAAGGAAACTCCCATAGTTAGTACAGACAGTACGCGATGTGATGGCGGTGAAAAAGGCGGTATATGGTAGGCAAAAAGTGCTGAGCACAGAAGGCAACAAGGCAGTGTATAGCGTTGCTACGAAAAAGTTAAAGAAGGGAATTAGGGTGGCCAAAAGTGTATCAGAAATTTGGCTAACAGACACTTGCTCTAGCGATGTTAATTTTTTTTTGCTGTTGCAAATTCAAATATAAGTGATCTTCTGTGGCCCCGCTGGAGGAAGATGAAAAGTTACTTGTGGAGAACAGGGACACCGTAGATGCTCGCAGTACTCACTTTTGCAGTTTTTTGTTCTTCAAAGAAGACTGCGTGATCTCTCTGGTAAAATACAAAATCTTACGGAAAACAGTCTAGAAGACTTGATGGTGGGCGAAGGATACTAGTAGTAAGTAGTAAGTAGTAAGGAGTAAGTAGCAAGGATTGCAGTAAGGGACACCTTGAAGATAATCGAGGTCATCGGTGGCCGGGCATGGCCAGATATATGGTAGTGGTGAGTGAATGCGCTAGTAGTTAAGCTTGTCCTCTAACGTATGTATTTAATAGGCCATTGCATTTCTCGGAAGTACCCGAAAACTGGCGCAATGCTAATGCTGTACCGATATTGAATGAAGGAGCCAAAAAGTATCAGAAGTTACAGGCCTCCTAACTGCAGAAAATAGGAATAAGATCTCCCGAACAGTTGAGAGTGCGGCTCCACAGGGAGCGATGTTTGGTTCTTTGCTATTTATCATTTTTAAGATACATAGTTAGATAGGATTAGAGAGTAAGGTTCCAGCATTTGTTGACGATATTGAATTGGTAGGGGTGTCGAAAAATACCGACCAAGTGAACCAAATTCAGCTTGACTTAGAGAAACTAGTTAACTGAGCTTCTCTGTGGCTGATGTCGCTGCATTATGATAGTGTATGGTAATGTATTTCGACAGTTTTGACAGTGAGGGCATTGCCTATAAAATGGAAGTCCAGTTGTTAGGCAAAATCGAGGAAGAAAAGGGCATAGAGAACATCATTTCCAGGGATTTCTAGGCTGAAAAGCAATGTGTGGCTATTAGGAGCAAGGCAGGTCGGATGCTGGGCCTTTTAAACAGGAATATCTGGTACAAGAGTAGGAATTCGGCCAAAAATTGTACTTAGCTGATGTCGCACCACACCTAGAGGTTTGTGCACAGGTTTGGTCCCTATGCTTCGAAAAATAAATAGATAGCCTGGAAAGAGTATAGCGAAAAGCAACTAGGATGATGGATGAGATTAGCGACTTAGAATACAAGGATAGCTTGGACTTGGAGCCTGGAGTTGAATTCACTGAAATATCGTAGAGGTAGAGTGGATCTGATAGATATTAAGACTTAACTATAAAGAGGCAGGTGTCATTTAGTCAACTCTTAGTGAATCGTTAAAATGGACTGTCAAACCAAGTTGTAGGAAGTCCCTCTCTGGCAGGATTTAAAAATCGCTTGGACAAGTTCTATCGGTGTTAAGATGTTGTGTATAACAGGATTTTGACAGTTCAGGTAGTAATATTAGTTCTCAGGATGTGTGCGAAGTCTGTGGTAGGCCAACGTCGTTGGGCCCTCGTGGCGCTTTGTTGGCCAGGTGTCTTTATGTCTTTATGTCTTAATGTCTTCGTGACTACATTGCACCATTATTGCAACGCTGTTGCCTACATTTAGAGTCATCGTTGGTCGTATGGAGTGAGATGACAGCATTATTCCAGATTCATTTAGCCATGCAGATGTGACGCCGGAAAAATAACAAAAGACAACACTTGTGCGCAGGCTCACACCATGCCACATATTTTGTATTAGCATTATAACAACAAGATTCGGGGTGATAACTGCTTTACCCTGAACGATGATGACTGCTAATTGTTACAACTGGCGCAGCTATAATGATGGACCTGTGCCGCCTCTCTGTGTGTCGGCAGAGTTTGGCGTGCGCCGCGTGCTGTTCCGCACGGCTATGATGGCGGTGAACGTGCTGATCGGCGAGACGGTGCCCAGCTTCTCCAAGGTGCTGAACCTGATCGGCGCCAGCGCACTCACGCTCATGACGTTCGTCATGCCGCCCATTCTCTACCTGCGCCTCGCCTCGAACACCGACGGCGGCAAGTGGAAGCGTATGTAAGTTATAGGGACAGCGGATGACGGCGGCCTGTATTGCTGTTGCTCGTCTTCCTCAATGGTCTCATTGAAGCAAATGACATGATAGCTCTTTTGGTGGTATTGCCGTTACTTTATGCCACAAGGCAACTCAATTACAACCCAGGCGTAAGGGCAACCGCAAGCGCACCGAGCGCATTTTGAGCACACCAAGCACATGAGACGCTTGGAATGTGCGGTGCTGTCTTGACCGGCCAAACCCAGACTGAATTGTTGTATTTCCAGCGAGGTGCCCGTTTGGGAGAAGATACTGCTGGTGGAAATCGTGTTGGTCGCCACTGGCTGCGGGATCATCTCAACTTACTCAGCCATCGCCGACATCCTGGATCCGGACTCCATCGCCAGCTCCTGCCTGATCCATATCAACTGAGCTATAGCCATACAGCACGCCTGATTCACCGAACTCCGCCTGACTGATCAGCACCGAATTGTCCTCACCTCCTGCCCTGAGCCACATCAAATGAGTTGTAAGGGTTTTTGACTACGGGACATCAACAGAGGTACTGCTCCTGGACCGCATTCACATGCACTGAGGTCCATCTCTCGCCTTGTTTTGCTGTAGTTGAGCTAAGGCTGCCGTGCATGCTCCATATTAACTGAGATAAAACTCCAACCCGATTCATATCAACTGAGATCCGGTTTCTGCTTGATCCACATCAACTGAGAACTGAGGGCCATTCTTGAAAGACATGGCGTCAACTGGGTCTTAGGTTGTGACCGATTTGCATCCACTGTGCTCTAGCTTCTGATGTGCAACTGCTGCCCGCTTGGCTACATGCCTCGTTACATGCAACAACACGAGCATGTCGCGGGTCAACACATTTATACACTAGTATGATGTTTTTTTTTTAATAAATGCGACTGTCGGATTGTGACTTTTGTAGCCGCGACATGGCGCTGGAGATGGATGGCAGTGTGCAGGGGTGGTAAAACCTGCCGACTTGGTGGATAAGGCCGGCGACAAAAATGTGTATATTCACGCGAACCTTGGCGCCAAAAATGTGTTTGGACAGCAAATTTGAGTGACGGGCAAGATGGAATGATATAGCACACTATGCAAAACACAATATGAGGTCTTCACGCGTAGATATTACTCTTCCATGGTAATACATCCTGCCACACAACGCCAGCAAACGTTTCCGTAAGGACTCTTTACCGTACTCTACGGCACTCTGGTATCTTTTCTAGGCTTCATTCCAATCCGGCGACAAAAATATCCTACGATTTGTAGTTGGTCGGTCGACTCGATGACAGGACGGCGACAAACCAGTGTATTTCCAATGGCCCGGCCGATCAGCCGACTCGCTGTTTTTAACAACTGACTCTCGGTGTCCCAAACAAGACAGAAGAAAATAATGGAAACAATCTACATATGGGGATTCATCTGGCCGCAATGGGATGTTTCAACCGTTGCGATGTGATTGATATGACGTGGGTGGTGACTTTCAATGCACTGCAATTTCGCGAGTGACATTTGCAATGCAGTGTCATGAATGCCTGCCTAGGGTATAATTTTTGACCTTGCTTACTGCGGTGGCCGTGCCACAATTCAGCATCCTGTCCTCAGCGACGAGAGGCATTGAAAGTTTAGAGTAAGTCGGCGGGATGATTCGATCAAGGTAGCAATTGACCTGGGATTATCCAAACTGCTTTTTCAAAGCACCGAAAAGGCTGTTGACTCACTGAAGCAGTCACAAGCGACCAGCCTTCCCCCTTTTGAAAAGAGCCGTGGGTTTGTAGTTGAAGTCTGATGGCACTCCTCATGAAGGGGAGTAACAGAGGGTGATAACAGTTCTGAAATGCTAATCATGTCATTTTTATTCTTGTCCTGGTTGAAAATGGTTACCAGTGACATAGATCTTCAAATCAGGGGTGTCCCCACTTTTTATTCAGTTCAGGGCTCCGACTCTCTCTCTAGGTTTGTGAAGTGCGCTACTCTGGGAGACACCCATACTTTGGGGGTAAGTTGCATAATTTTCACTGCTCCCAAACCTGTCTTAAAAATATGCCCCTGTTTGGAATGCAATTATTTCAGCGATGTTTTCAAGGTTTTAATAGCATTTAGCGATTAGTCACAGCTCAACCTTTTGCTGAGATGAATCTTGTTTCCCGGAAATCCACATGATAGCCAATGATGTAGGCTACCGGAAGGCAATACAAGTGAGGGTGGGTTGGTGTAGCAAATGTAGGCAATGAGGAGCGGGAGGGGGGGGGGGTACTGGTTTCATTGTCATGCCCCCTCCACGAAGAGTTTTACTTCAAATAGCAGGAGGTTTTATGGTATGGCGGTAGAACTACCCCATGAGGTCAGTAAAAGTTTGACATTTGTTCGTCTCTGAGGACAATGTTGGCTATTTCCTGATGATAGCACACCTACTGCACCAGGAAAGCTCTGGAAGCCATTGATTCTGCAGCGCTCATTCATATGCATGCTTTCGTTGCACCTGTGAGCATGACATTGCGTGGATGCAGATGGGCATATTTTATTACTGCTGTTGCTAGCAAAACATTGTAAAAATTGTCCCGATGGAACCACTAGTGCAATCACTGTATACATTTAAATACGGGTTGTGAAAACAGACAGCCTGCCTTATGTGCAACTTACATTGATGGTAGAAATAAATATAGTTTGTGTGGAAACTACAAACAAATGCAGATTGCTACAGATTGAAATGCAGATTGTTGCACCAGCACGCGTAAATAAGCAAAAAAGGATGGCAGACAACAACTTTAATCCATACCCTGGTTCGCCGGTTTTGTAACGCGGACTAATGGGTTGGGTTGGGTTGGGGGATTCCTTGACGTTTGCAAACCAAGAGAGCTATAACCTCGCAAAGACAAACAGTGAACTGTCTTTTACGAGATCTCGTGATTGGTAAGAAGTACTCTGCTGTTAACAGACTCCATTAGATAAGGCCAAGGCCAAATTTTCCTGAAAACCAAACATCAGCTTGGCATGTTCATATATACGAAAGCATGCAGTGTTGTGACATGGAATATCAAGAGGTGTGTTCTCTGCTTAACTATGAGTACAATGACGTTGTTTGATCTGTTTGGAGCCTATACTTATAATGTAGGGTTTTGTTCATGTAACAGTGCCAACCCTCCTCGCGCGGTCTGCGGAATCATCGCTTGCTCCCGCCGTACTCGCCGGCCTTAAATGATCTTGTAGTGCTCATAAAAAACATCGCTTCTCTGAAACCGTAATTGCCAGGGACACTTCTTTGCGTGTTAACACGCGTGCAGTGGATGCCCCAGAGACTACCAAAGATTTGAGCGAGATTGCACAACATGCCGCATTGGTATCCCCAGAAAACCGCAGGCGGGGGGGGGGGGAG